TCTGCTCCGCCGTGGGGATCTTCAGTCCCGTCTGCTCTGCTGTGGCGGTCCTCAGCTCCGCCAGCTCTGCCTCAGTCCCAAAGCTTGCAGATGGATCCACACGTCTCCCGTCTCGTCAGCCCCGTTGCAACTGTCACTTTTGATCAAATTAATGCATCCTTGCTGAATAAAAGTATGAATTTCTTTCAGAAAGGAAACATCTTACTGACTCCACACTTTTGAATAGTAGTGTCTGTTTTACAACATTTATTACGTAAATAACCAAGTAAATGAAAATATTTAAATGTATATGTTTGTATATTATCATTTATATGTAGCTAATTCAGGTTCCCATAGACAACTTGACAACTAGTGTAAATGAGCTGTAATGCCTCTCTGGTCAATACTGCTTGCTTTTTTGTATTCAAGACTATAAGGTATGTGTCTGTACAAAAAAAAATCACCCACTATATAAGATATTTTACTTGGCTAATGTGTGTTCATACAGGTCAAAGTGTATGGGCTGGTGACTATCTATACCCACTAACTAGGTGAACTACTTGACAATGCTGGAAACAGGAACCAGGAATCATTTCTGGGTCAGTCTGGGGCAAGCAGTGCAAGTGTTGGAAACGGGAGAATACAAGAGTATAACAAAGAGGAGAACGGCATTCCAGGTTATTAATAGATCTGGAAAAGACCAGTGACGCTTAGAGTGTGTATAGAGCTAAAGGCTACGGCGGAGAAGGGAATTATCCACATGGTGTTGACCAGCTGCCTGTTGCACATGCTGAGCTGATATTATGTCTGTTAAAATGACTGTGCCATCCAAAGTGTACTTAATAAGACGTGTAACATTATCTAAGATACAAAACAAATGCACTAGGCCAGACAAAATATCCTATTATAAAGCTCTGCCCTTGGAGGCAATGTCACTATTTTATTCGCCACAACATATGACAGATGGCATTTCGATATCTTTACGGTGGTGTTAGCAGAGTCTAAATAAGCAGTGGACGACTTAAAATGAGCTGCACCTGCTGTACCTCTGATGGCATTATCTCCTTACATTAGTACTGTTACCTAATAGTGCTATCACCCCCCAATTAGCGAATAGTTTAGTGAATTCAACCCTTAATATGTTCAAAAAACTTTTATTTGCATACATGCAGACAATTTCTAATCAGTCTCAGCACAAATATGAGCACATTTACGCTGCATAACAACATACATACATGCATTTACCTCTCTGTACCTGCAAACCCCCCCCCCCCCCCCCCCCCCACCCCCTCCTGTCCCATGAAACCTGTTCTGTTTCTGTTTTACAAACACAGACACCACAGCAGGCATCACAACATAAAAGGCTATGCTCCTCTTTATGTTTTTGTAATTATATTTCGTGTAATTATGCTGTTCTGACAAGCTACAGGTCACTATGAGGGGAAAGTGACTGGAAATGCGTCTGGAAAACGGACTGCTTTAAAAGTGGGCGCTGAAATACGTGCAATAACGTATGTACACACTTCACGCACTAAATAGCCAGCAAAAGTGTGACCTCACCAGAAAAAGGACAGAAGCGATAGGAAATCACATCACAATTAATGTTGTAGAGTTATCTATGCAAATATGATGCACAAACTGAATGTGAAACACTGAAATCACAAATGGGACACTTACTGGTTTGGGCTTCTTTGTAGAACCCACATTTTCATGGATATCCTTGCTGTCGTCCCAGGATGCTTTGCTATCCCCATTTGAAGCTGACGGGCAGGTTTTGGGCAAGGGGTCTTGCCCCTTCATGACCTGAACAGGGTCAAGACTCATTCTCCCCAACTCTTCTCATTAACGAAACACTTATCCAGGGCTGTATCACGCTGCGCTGTTCTCTCTGTATACATGTACAGCCTCTCTTCCACACACAGTGTATGTCTCCAGCTTTAGGTAGCACGGTACAGCTGGTATACAATGCTATACTCCTGATTCAGTGTCTAATGATAGTGCTGGCTTTGGTTCTATGCGGCTATATCCTCTCTGCTCTGACGCTGTGCCTGCAATCTACTGCTGTGATGCGGTATGTGTTGATATCTGGCCCCTTCTCTCTTTCTTTCCCTCCCTTCCTACTCATCCCTCACTCATGCACATGACACCCTCCTCCCTTTCCCTATATTCCCTGCTCTAATCTATCTGCATGTGCTTTCTCTCCCTCTCTCAAAATATAATATTCTGATTGGATCAGCATCTTGCAGCCAATGAATAACGGGCTTCCCTGACAGCTGTTCTTACTGGTCCATCCCCACAGACACATACAGACAGACAGACAGACAGACAGACAGACAGATAGACAGATAGATAGATAGATATACAGATAGACAGATAGACAGATAGATAGATAGATAGATAGATAGATAGATAGATAGATAGATAGATAGATAGATAGATAGATAGATAGATAGATAGATAGATAGATAGATAGAAAGCTCTGTTTTTTCTCCTCGCTATCCCCTTAATGCCATTGTAATGGGGTGAAACAGCCCATTACCCAATGATCAGTTGCTAGGCAGCACTTCGACCCAATGCACAATCTCGCCAGGGATTGGCTGTTTAGTTGGAGCCCTGACAGTAGCCCTGGGGCCAGGAGTGACAAACTGTCCACACTGTCCAGTGGTAGGCTGCCTTCTTCTGGGTGAAGAAAGAAATATATTCTCATTCTCAAGGATTCAACAATAGCAGTTTAAGAATGACATCTAGACATTCAGCACTGCAGTGTAATATTGCTTTTATATAATATTAGGTAATGTAAGTTTTGGCTAGTTAGTCTGTATATTTCCTACAAGTTTTGTGTGTCACCAAGCAACTCACAGACAGAAAGCTAGTCTGGCACAGCATATTAGTGGTGCGGAGATAGATTTCCCCTTCCCATTCAAAGTGCTGTGTAATCATTCATGTACAGAATCACTCTGGGCTTTCCATTTCCCAATTTAGGGGACAAACCAACTCTAGGCAAATTCTGCTCCTCGCTCTCTATGTACCGCTTCTGGTTTGTGAACAAGTGGAGTGATAAATGAAATGACCCAATGCTGTAGGCTACTCTGCTCTGCCAATCATAGCAAAGAACTGGACCTAACTAACTGTACTAACTGAACACTATTATATGTTTGAATCTGCCTACTCCAGCCTCATTTCTCCCCATAGGAACAAGCGAAGAGGAGACTCATGTTTTATATGTTTTAAATGTTTTAATTATAGTCATGTATAGTCATAAATATGAAACAAAATGAAATCCACTGAAACTCTCAAAGTGGCTTTTGAATCGATTCATGATGTTAATGCAGATGCACGATTTATTTTCTGCTTAAACACTGTAAATGAGAGTCTTTATTATTGCACCCTCACTGAGAATATAGTATATTTAGTACTATATAGATATCGTAGGACTTTTATTTTGAAGTGCCGTTTGTCGTGGAAAATCCCAGACGTCAGCCAGCTTTACATCGTTGTTAGCGGCGGCACGGAAAGACAGATAGTGCTTCCTGAAAGTCCAAACAAAACATGCGTTATTGCCTGAATCCTTAAGTTTTGAGCAAACAAAGTGTTTGAAATTAATCGGAAATTACCTGTTCATTAGAATAACAAAAAATGGAGCATTCGGTGCCCAAAAAGTAAGTGAAAAGATCAGCTCGGCTAACCAGCCATCAGTCAGGCTAATGTTTACAGGCCTCGTCTTACTAACCAAAATGAAACTGCTAGAAAGCTCTGTTTTTTCTCCTCGCTATCCCCTTAATGCCATTGTAATGGGGTGAAACAGCCCATTACCCAATGATCAGTTGCTAGGCAGCACTTCGACCCAATGCACAATCTCGCCAGGGATTGGCTGTTTAGTTGGAGCCCTGACAGTAGCCCTGGGGCCAGGAGTGACAAACTGTCCACACTGTCCAGTGGTAGGCTGCCTTCTTCTGGGTGAAGAAAGAAATATATTCTCATTCTCAAGGATTCAACAATAGCAGTTTAAGAATGACATCTAGACATTCAGCACTGCAGTGTAATATTGCTTTTATATAATATTAGGTAATGTAAGTTTTGGCTAGTTAGTCTGTATATTTCCTACAAGTTTTGTGTGTCACCAAGCAACTCACAGACAGAAAGCTAGTCTGGCACAGCATATTAGTGGTGCGGAGATAGATTTCCCCTTCCCATTCAAAGTGCTGTGTAATCATTCATGTACAGAATCACTCTGGGCTTTCCATTTCCCAATTTAGGGGACAAACCAACTCTAGGCAAATTCTGCTCCTCGCTCTCTATGTACCGCTTCTGGTTTGTGAACAAGTGGAGTGATAAATGAAATGACCCAATGCTGTAGGCTACTCTGCTCTGCCAATCATAGCAAAGAACTGGACCTAACTAACTGTACTAACTGAACACTATTATATGTTTGAATCTGCCTACTCCAGCCTCATTTCTCCCCATAGGAACAAGCGAAGAGGAGACTCATGTTTTATATGTTTTAAATGTTTTAATTATAGTCATGTATAGTCATAAATATGAAACAAAATGAAATCCACTGAAACTCTCAAAGTGGCTTTTGAATCGATTCATGATGTTAATGCAGATGCACGATTTATTTTCTGCTTAAACACTGAGTCTTCATTATTGCACCCTCACTGAGAATATAGTATATTTAGTACTATATAGATATCGTAGGACTTTTATTTTGAAGTGCCGTTTGTCGTGGAAAATCCCAGACGTCAGCCAGCTTTACATCGTTGTTAGCGGCGGCACGGAAAGACAGATAGTGCTTCCTGAAAGTCCAAACAAAACATGCGTTATTGCCTGAATCCTTAAGTTTTGAGCAAACAAAGTGTTTGAAATTAATCGGAAATTACCTGTTCATTAGAATAACAAAAAATGGAGCATTCGGTGCCCAAAAAGTAAGTGAAAAGATCAGCTCGGCTAACCAGCCATCAGTCAGGCTAATGTTTACAGGCCTCGTCTTACTAACCAAAATGAAACTGCAGATCTGTCAACGCATTAGAATAGATTTTTGGGTTAATATCTTAATGTTCGTAATTAACTATATCTACAAGACCAGTTGTTGTTATTGTTATTGGTGTATATATAAGTTTAGGTCACATTTTAACCATGGCGTTGTATGCGTTAAATAAACTACGATTGTGTTTATTCATGACAGTAAGCTGAAGAAACTCAGTGAAGACAGTCTTACCAAGCAGCCAGAGGAAGTGTTTGATGTCCTTGAAAAGCTTGGAGAAGGGTGTGTATTAACAGTATACTTAAGTGATGTTGAATGGATAAATCTTGAATAAGAATTTCACACAATGAGTGCTTTTTGGTTCAGATCATATGGCAGTGTTTTTAAAGCCATTCACAAGGAATCAGGCCAGGTTGTGGCCATTAAACAGGTTCCTGTCGAATCAGACCTTCAGGAGATCATCAAAGAGATCTCCATAATGCAGCAATGTGACAGGTAAAACAGCCCATTAAGGAATAATAAGTAACATTTTATTAATAAAATTATTGGCCCTATATGAAACATTTCCCAACACTGCAATTTTTTTAACAGTCCTTATGTAGTGAAGTACTATGGCAGCTATTTCAAGAACACGGATCTGTGGATTGTGATGGAGTACTGTGGCGCTGGATCTGTGTCTGATATCATCAGACTGCGTAACAAAACGGTAAATAAAAATACAACTATAAATGCACTATACAGCTTCAACACATGGTTAATTACACAATTTCTTTTTCTCTTGACAAGCTCACCGAGGATGAGATCGCCACAGTCCTCAAATCCACCTTGAAGGGTCTGGAGTATCTCCATTTCATGAGGAAAATCCACAGGGACATCAAAGCAGGGAATATTCTCCTCAACACTGAAGGCCATGCTAAACTAGCTGATTTCGGAGTGGCTGGACAACTTACTGTGAGTATTAAAACTATCTGGTTTAATGTAGGGATGCTCTGATCTGCCTTTTTCGCCTCCGATACCGATTCCGATTCCGATACCTAGGGTTCGGTATTGACCGATCCGATACCTAGGGTTCGGTATTGACCGATACCGATCCGATAGTTCGGTATTGACCGATCCGATACCTAGGGTTCGGTATTGACCGATCCGATACCTAGGGTTCGGTATTGACCGATCCGATACCTAGGGTTCGGTATTGACCGATACAGATACTGATCCGATACCAGTGAAGTTTCCCCCCCCCATTTAAATAAACGTAGAATTTATATATCTCTGTGTATGGAACTGATAATCATTCTTTCACAATCTACTAGATACAGACTACTTCATTATAACAAACTGGTCGTGTATATCATGTTTCATGAACTAACTGTGTTTATTTATAATGTCCACAAAAGGACACAATGGCGAAGAGGAACACTGTTATAGGTACACCCTTCTGGATGGCCCCTGAAGTAATCCAGGAGATCGGCTACAACTGCGTGGCAGATATTTGGTCTCTCGGCATCACATCCATAGAAATGGCTGAAGGAAAGCCTCCTTATGCAGACATTCATCCAATGAGAGTGAGTGGAACATGCTGAGAAGTCCTTGATGTGGAATTTAAACAAGAAACTGGTTGCTGATGGTGTCTTGTTTTGTCTTTTTGTGTCATCAGGCTATTTTTATGATCCCCACAAACCCTCCACCCACTTTCCGCAAGCCAGAGCTGTGGAGTGACGAATTAACAGATTTTGTGAAGAAATGTCTGGTGAAGAACCCAGAGCAGAGAGCGACAGCCACTCAACTGCTGCAGGTATAGGAAGAGCCAAAAATATTGCTAACTACTAGTTCCTGTCTGTGATTCATACAGTTATTTATTCATTCTCTATTTTATTTATTTATTTTTAAGTCGTGAAAATAAAACATCTGGTATGTTTTTCATTGTCTATTCTGCAGCATCCATTTATAATCAGTGCTAAGCCGGTGACCATCCTGCGAGACCTGATCACAGAGGCCATGGAGATGAAGGCCAAGAGACAACAGGAGCAGCAGAGAGAGCTGGAGGAGGATGACGAGAACTCTGTGAGATAATTCACCAACGTTGCATATTAGTTGTACAGTATGTGTTTTAGCTGATGTCATATGTTACTGAATTGTGCAGGACGAGGAAGTGGAAGTGGATTCCCACACTATGGTGAAGTCTAGTTCAGAGAGCGCTGGCACCATGAGAGCCACCGGCACTATGAGCGACGGTGCTCAGACCATGATCGAGCATTGCGGCACCATGCTGGAGTCTGACCTGGGAACCATGGTGATCAACAGCGATGATGAAGATGAGGAAGATCTCGGCTCGATGAGGAGTGAGCGTTTATGTCTTTTTCTTTACATTAACACTTTTGTGCTGCTTTGAGAAATGTTTAATCTGATGTGTTTTCCTCTAAATAGGAAATCCTACAGCTCAGCAAATTCAGCGTCCATCCTTCATGGACTACTTTGACAAACAAGACTCAAATAAAGCACAAGAGGGTTACAATCACAACCAACAGGACCCGTGCTTAATTTCCAAGACTGCTTTTCCTGATAATTGGAAAGTTCCGCAAGATGGAGATTTTGATTTTGTAAGTGCTCTTATGGTGTTCTTTTGATTCATTGTTTATGCATTAAGCTGAATGAAATGATTCACTGTTTGTTTCGGTCTGTGAAGCTGAAAAACCTCGATTTTGAGGAGCTCCAGATGCGCCTTTCTGCTCTGGACCCCATGATGGAGCGAGAGATTGAAGATCTGCGGCAGCGCTACACGGCCAAGAGGCAACCCATTCTTGATGCCATGGATGCGAAGAAACGCCGGCAGCAGAACTTCTAACCGACTTCACTGATGCTGAAGCTTCAAAGCTGGCTGGCCAGATCTTATGTCCCCTCCTGTGTTCAATCTTTGTACTGATGCAACTTATTCTAGACTCCTGCTGTTTGTACATTTGAAGGTCCTAGTGGATATATAAAACATAAAAGTACTATGTTCTTTTTTCTTTTTGAATTCAAATTCACAATATTAAGAGTTCATTCTAAACTGAACAAATTATTCACAATCTTAACCAGTCTCACCCTATATTATGAAGTTTAGGCTTTTCTCCTCTAGCTTTCAAAATCAAATTCAGCCATCTCTATATCTGTGGTTTATACTTTTTTTAATACTATAAATGAATCCAAGGCGAAAATGACTGTGAAAATGTGAAGTTTTGTGACTGAATTCATAAGAAATGCTGGTTGGACTACTGCAAAATCATTTTTAGGTGTGAATGGATTACTAAACCAAAGACAATCAAAAGTAGAGAATGCCTTTGAGCGCTTGATAACCCTCTTTTTGAAGTTTGCATCGCCAAGCTATATGTTAGTATTCTGCTAATATGGGACCATGTTACAGTAGAGATGCCACAGTTTTGTTTGTCATCTTTACTGGTATTAATTTAGAGAGAAAAGGGACCATTCCTGCAGCTATGCTTCCAATCCCATCAAAATTCCTCGTCAGCACAAAGTAGGGTTTGAAACATCTGTCCACAGCTTTGTAAATATGCATGGCTTATTTATGCTGAATGTCACTTTCTCGGTTTCTGAATGTTTCTGTGTGACGTCTTCCCTATGTTCTCTTCACTGCCACTGGCTTCTTGATAACTTGTTGCAAATATTTGTGTGAGGAAGTGAGAACTACTTTTCCCGTGCCCCATTTTAAAGTTCTCACTTTATCTCAGGGGTTGCTCGGCTTTGAATTGTCTCTCTTTCTTCTGGTCTTTTTGGTCATTTCAATGCAGTGATTGTGTGTTTCTCATTATGGTAATGGTACCATCATTACTAGGCCTATTGAGTCTCCATAACTACCAAAAGCAATACAGCAACTCAAGGACATAGTAATGTAACAATGCCAGTAATGTGAATGACCTAAACCAGTTACTGAATCTTTTCAGAGAAGGATGAGTTGTTTTAAATAGACATTAAAATGACTCTCGCAATGTTTATGCCCTGATTGTGGACTGATGAAGTCTATAAATCTGAGTTGGTTTGAAGTATAGTCTGCTAATGATTTTTCTTTTTTACAAAAGCTTATTCATAAAATAGTTAGGGACTTTACCAATGCCTTACATTTCCTGCAGTTGTGAGTTATATCAGTTTTATTTCATACTCTGACATTTATATAGGCACATTTTTACTGAAAACTCTTAATTTATTGTGTATTAATCATAATGGAAGGTTTTTTTTTTTGCACTCTGCCTAGAGTTTTTGAATAAAGGTCTGTTACTTGTCTCCTTGAACCCTATGTGGACTTATTTACCAACAGTATTTTTTAATATTGTTAAATATATGGGGAACACTGTTGAAACACTATAAAATACACAGACAAACCTGGAAACAAAAGGAACATTTAAATTGAGTACAACAAAATTAATAAAACGTTCTAGTTTTTCTCAGGTCCAAAATAGTTTTTCAATTAGAAATTCGTTTTGAGAGCAAATGCCACTATAATTTCAAAATAGCTTTTTTTTCAGTTGAAAAAGCATTATGCTTGTTCTTATATTATACAACAAGCCATTTATTTAAACTATGAACACTTTAAAAACTACAATAATTAAGCTACTATTTATAAAATTACATTTAGGCCTACAAACCATAAAAAACGAAGATAATGAACTTCTTGACTGGTTACTTGAATTACCGTAATCACTTAATTACAGAGCTCTGCTTTATTCTGCCAAGTGATAACTATATTTATGCAAAAAGACCTGAATCAGGTTGTTTAACCGTGTATGCTTTGTCTACCATTTATTTCCTTAATTCCCCCCCCCCCCAAATATAGTTCCATTCTGTGCGACATGTTATTGAATAATCGTAATTACTCATGCAATGTCTCTATATGTGTGTCGTTATGGCCTACTGGAAGTGAGTCCCTACAAACCTGCTTTACACTCATTCATTATTAACTCAACTAGAAGTTTATGGACAGTTGTGCTTCGCGAGTCTCGTTTGGATCTCAGTGTTGAGAGATGTCTGCGGTTATTAGGAAGATCATTCACACTGCAGCTGCTCCAGCCGCCATCGGGCCCTACAGGTGAGAGTCCGTCTGCCGTCAAGTCAAACCATCATGTTTACGCTCCTCAACAAAGCCACACGTGACATGCCCTAGCATAGGGATAAGTGTGATTTCTACATAAAGCACCACCAGCTATGCATTTAACAGTCAGCATTGAGCAGCAAAAGGCCTGACATAGGCTGCAGTGCAATATTTGTTCGGGTGTGTCTTTAGAAAGCGCACTCAACTTTGTGCTGGAGATTTGGTGCGACTTATTTTTCATATAAACTGTTTGGACGAGATTAATTCTGTTCAGAGAAAAATCCCATATACACCTAAAGCCCCTATTAGACAGGACATATACAGGTAAGAGTCTTCTCAGTCACTTTAATGTTACAGAGCAATAGCATTTAGATTCCAAACTGTTTAAAATTGTAAAACTGGGATTTTATTTTGAATGCATCATAATAAGATTATTTGTAACGCACCATATTACCACCGTTTAATAAAAAAGTTTCTCAGTAGCACTGAACTTTAGTAGCGCTTTATTTCATTACATGCAAAAAAGACGTTTACAGACTTAAGAGCTTTTTTTCTTGCACAAAATGCACTTGAAAGTGGTTAGTTGTTATAATGGGGGTGTTAGTGTTTCAACCAATAGACAGTAAGAGGAGGTGTCAAGTTCATTGACTTAACCAGAGGTCAATGTGGTTTGTTCTGCTTAATATGTGGTTATGTTAAAAAATATATAAAAATAAAAAAGGGTGCTTCGGAAAAGTATTTATGACACTAGATTAGTTTTTTTTTTGGCATATATTCTATATTATATCCATTTATGCTCAGCTGATTGCATGATTTAAACCAACATGTATCAATATTGATGAGATTTAATGTATGAGCTGACCTATGATCTTTAATTTCCTTGCATTTGTGCAAACCTTGTGCTAAAACAACTGGCATTAATGTTTGCATTATGTAACTTACTGAACTTGTCTTGTATTAGACACATTATCTTGGAATTGGTATTGTCTTGGACTATGATCTCAAGCTGAACTTACACTTGATCTTGGTGGTCTTCAATGCTACTGAGTGATATTTTAGTTTATATAATATTCAGTCTCCAATTTATGATTAGTAATATCCGAATTTACTGTGCCCAACATTAAAGGGGTCATATGATGCGATTTCAAGTTTTCCTTTCTCTTTGGAGTGTTACAAGCTGATTGTGCATAGATAAGATCCCTGAAGTTGCAAAGACTAAAGTCTCAAAACCAAAGAGATATTCTTTATCAAAGTTAAGACTTTCATTTTTGAGTGAACCATTCCCTTAACATGTCTGTTCCCTCTTACAAATTTTCAGGAATTTTATAATGTGTGCTTTTTTTTTTGCAGTTGTCAAAGCCACAGTGCTGTTAACAGATATTAATGACTTCAATAACGTCAATGATGTTTACAAGCAGTGTGAGTATTAATAAAGCAGTCATAATGGAATAATTCACCGCAGTGTGTCATATACACATACAACCACAGATTTCCCTTACATTTTTAGTAGCCTTGGTCATGTAGAACACCTCATAATTTGGAATGACATTGGTGTCCTTTGTTGTTGGAATTAAAAACAATCATGACATTTGTGTTTTCTTGTATATCCACCTTATTTGTCAACGTGGAAGTAAGCCGTTTTCTGTGAATGTTTGCGCGAGACTTCCGGTTAATTAGCCGCTGCAGTGAAATAGCAAAAAGAATAACAAAGTGCAGTAAACGGTAAAAGTGTTTGCACTACAAACCAGTATGTTCGTAATTAAGATAATACATTAAAATAACATGGTAAGACACACTAGTTTGCAATATCAAGCAGCAAAACAAGCTATTTTGAACAGCTAAGAACAGCTGGAAACGAATGACACCGGAAGCCTCGCACATTAAATTTACAAATGACCACACCTGCTCTTATGGGGAAAATAAGGTGGATACCTTCCCTAAAATTGCTTTACTTCCCATCCTGCACTTTAGTGATAATGCTTTATGCAAGTTATTGATTATTCAAATGTTACACAAATGCCTCTGTGCAACCCTGGGTATTTCCTCTTGAAAACAATGCTGATGAGTAATCCTATCCTGTCTGCGTGTAAAGGGATACAGTGCAGTTCTGTGAAACGAAAGCCTCCTCTATACGAGGACATCCCATCATCACTGCCTCCTACCACACAGAACTTTCCATGATGTGACATACAAACCTGCAGCATCAACAAATACCCTAAACTGAATTCACGTCATTCTGTCTTTAAAACTTATGATGCAATTAATGATACACACAGGCATAAGAGGCTGTTTTTCTTGTCACAAGAACTGCGGTAGTCGACTATGTAAGATGAAGATTATATTTTATATAGCGTACAGCTTATAGATACAAAGTGTCAATTTCAACTTTACTGGCAGTTTTGTATACATTTGTCACCAGTAAAGAACCCAGAGTTTCCCCAAAGTCTAAAAACTTTAGGATTTTTTTTGGTTTCCTTTTCTAAGTTTTCAAGAGCAGTTTCCCAGCTAGAGCTGCCTATCAAGTAGCTGCCCTGCACAGAGTAAGTATTAAACATAGACTAGTTATTGGTGTTTGCTAAGACAACCAGGTAACTACACACTACTCTTCAAAAGTTTGGGGTCAGTAGCTTTAAAACACTCACACATTGATGATAATCAGTAAGGTAATGAGCACCAAATCAGCATATTAGAATGATTTCTGAAGGATAACATGACACTGACGACTGGAATAATGATTAAAAATATATATTCAAATAGAAAACAGTTATTTTAAATTGTAAAAAATATTTCACAATGTAACTGTTTTTGATCAAATAAATGCAACCTTGGTGAATATAAGAGAATTCTTTCAAAACATTTCCGAAACGTTACCGACCAATACGTTTGAACAGTAGTGTAAGTATTAAACTTTGGCACACAAGCCATCTCACACTGTTTGAGTTAAGGAAATGAACAATACCTCAAATGATATGACTTTTTGAGGAGAGTTGTGCTATTACTTTACTCTACGTGATCAACTTGATATAAAAAGGGAGGGAAATCCCATAAACCTGCTTTGTGTTTATACCTCATTTGAACTTCACTTTCTGTTTTACAGGGAGGACTTGTTGAGATTGAAGCAGTCGCTGTGTTGGGACCCATTACAGATGCCCCCTGACTATATGACCCCGGCATGCATCACACATTGTAAATACAGTTATATGGAGACAAACCCCATCCCATATTACAAAATCAATCAAACTTTTAACCTCCCAAGTCACCAACAGAAAAAAAACACGCTTTTTCTGTTGCCCATTTTGCTAATATAAATATGCTATCGAGAGTTCAGTTCAAAACCCAGTTCAATTCAACTTTATTTTTAAACTTGTCATTATCACATTAAATCAAACCACACCACAAAAACAAAATTTCTTCCATTTGTTGAGTTCAATCTGTTGTGTTTGTTGCAGGAAAACAATAGCATTCAATAAATAAAACCAAAAAGCCTGTTTTTCAAATATTATGTCCTTTGTCATTTTAAATGTATATAACATTTTATTTCAGTTGGTTAAAATATTACATAATTATATAAATAGCATTCCACGATTTTCATATTCTCTTTGGCTTTTTGCATTTTTTATAAAGGGGTAAAGCCACTAAAATAGGCACCAATATTAAATATCGATGAAGGAAATCTCTAGCTAAAGCCAGCAATTATAATTCACTAAACTATAACTAGTGTGATGTTTGTATCCTGTGTATACAAAGACAGGCACAGAGTCTCTGAAGACCAGTTGGTCTAAATCTTGGCAACGAACAAGCAATATCTATATAATAAATAAACTAATGTTCCACTGTATTTTGAAACCATTCATGTGAATCTTTATTTTATTGAAAATAGGTGGTTGAATCCGGATTCTGTAGTAACTGTGCCAAATGATGCGCACTTAACTATCTTCACCAGAGGCTGAAAGAGATGAAGTGGTATGGGAAATCAGACAAGACATTTATCCTCAGGAGAAGATTTTTAGGTCCGTCTTGCATCATATTACCCTACTTACCAGGCACGTCCTCTGGTGGGGAAGATTTAGCCTGGTCCTCAGTTGTGTTTTCTGTGGAAATAGGGATGCATTTCATTAATTTAGGCTCAATTAATATTCTTTTTTTCCCCTTCATAATGGTTAAAGTAGCCAAATAAATTACATCATCCAAAAAACAGAGAAAGTATAAATTCTCATATATACTATAAATGTATCAGTCTTCATTTTGTGATTCTATCTGTTCAGGACACGTCCTGTGTGTTTCTCACGTTGGACTTACTAAAACGAATCAAATAAAAAAATGAATATTTAAAATCAGTTGCTGTGTTTAGCAGAGTATTATTTCTTGTTGCATTCTGCTTTGTATTCTGTTCTGTGGTTTGTCATTATGTTATTTGACAATGTCAGAGTTTTTTCCACATTGCATCCAAGACATTTGCATCCGTGGATAAATTGTCATTTACATTTAAAATTCGGGCAGTGAGGCATGCTGTGGCCCTCGCCACATTTAAGACCTGGCCAAAGAAACTACTGTTCAAGATGAAAATAATGCACTACTCCCAATTCCATTTTTTACTGTGTATTCATAATCCTGAAATGAAACCGGCCAGTCTAACTGGAACCTGGTTTTAGTAGCCAAAATCTTGTCTTTCTTAAGGTTCAGTTATACTAACCTTTATAAGACCAATATATCTGCTTAGAAAGCCTTAGCAAAACGTTTGGTAAAAAGGGATGGAAAGAGGAAACTAAGCAGGGCAGTGCTGTACTTCTACTGTAGGTCATGGAACAGTTAGTAGAACACTTATCAGGTTACTTAGAGTTAAACAAACACACTATTACCAGTTTAGACTAGTGCCATCACCTTTCACTTGAAGTGTAAAGGTAAGTATGAATGTGTAAAATAGTGCTTGAACTTTTTTAAATAATACAAAGGTATTCCAGGAAGTCTTCATTGCTAAAGAGAATGTGCAAGATGTTTTGCATCTAGAGATACGTACCTTGAAAGTACCACAGCCATTTGCATGCACAAGCAAGTTATTCTGTACCTTGATCTTGAAGAACTACTGTGAGCCAGTTTTTCCATGAGACTTTGCTCACTGTCCCTTTAAGATATGGAAACTGGCAGAAAACTTTAGTGTTGTTGTCTGTTAATGTGAAACGTACCACTTGGTGCTGGTTCTTCGGTATTGTCAGCTGTTGTGGAGGGGTTTGATTCGGGTTCAGCAGGCTGGTCAGATGTAATGGCCTCAGCAGCAGCTGCTTCTGGTTCATTGTGAGCTACGGCAGCCACAGAGCTCTGTATTTCCTCCGAGGCAACAGGAGCTGCACTGGATGTCTGTGGAGATTCCTCGGCCTGGGTTTGGTCTGGAATTGTCTCGCTGTCTGCTGCAGGGCCACCGTTTTCATTATTTGTTCCTTAGAGATCAAGACAAATATTTACCAGGGTTATTATTGTTAACTAAAACCATAAATAAAGAATCACTTGAAATAAAATAAACTTTAACTAAAATAAAATAATAAAACACAAAACTAAATAAAAATGAGAAATGTTGCCTTGGCAATTAGTGCAAATAAGTTGAAGTTGAAGCACTAAAATCACTAAAAATTTAAAACTATTTAGACATTAAAAAAAAATAATAAAAATGACAAAAGCACCAAATAATAAAATTGAAAATATAAAAATTATATCTAAATTCAAAACATTAACACAAATATAATAGTATATCAATGATACTAAAATAACTTTAAATATTATTTTACAAATTAAAATTATTTTGATAATAAAATGTTAAAAATAATAGTGGTTATACAATGTAAATGGATTAAATATAAAACAATAATTGTTAGTTTTTTTTCACTATTATTTCCCTCATATTATTGATCACGTGTTTAGGCATATACTGTACATATTTTAAATAGGGTACATCTAGGCCTGCACGGAGTCTGAAACTTTTTCAGAAAGGTTTCCGCAGCACAAACGATATCAATTTCAATACTGAAAAAAAATATTCCAATTCCAGTTCAGTATACTCAGTTTGGTTCAACATATTTTACTATATTTAAATCTTTTCCACATAATTCACATTTCATCAACACAGAAATATATTATGTCCTTTCTCTCTCTTCCTATCTATCAAGTGTCAGTAAGGTAGAAGACAACTCTTTTTGAGACCCACTTTAAATTCAACAGAAACCTCTAAACTAAAGCTTGGACTAGTCTACTAAAGAAGCTGCACTGCCTATAATTATATGAAACAAAGCAATACATAGACATTCTGGTTAAATACTGAAAACTAACAACGTAACAACAGGTGCTGAAAGAAAACTGATGTATTAAAACAGGAAAACTAGCAGAGGTTTATGACGTCGGTCATCTGTAATCTAAAGCACACAATATTTACATACATGAAACCTTCTTCTCAGCTCCATAAGCACACACTTTGTTTAAAAGTCACCATGGGCAAGTTGACATGCATCACCACACTTGAGGGAGCACCTGAGGTGGGGAGGACCTCCTCTGATCGCCTAAATGTATTTCCTCAAATTCCAAGAACTCATCCACTGTGATCGTTCAGGAAACAAGCATGTAACATCAACAAAGCAAAATACTAATTTCCTTCATTTGTTCGACAAATTTAATTCAATCCCATTAAACTCTAAATTCTATTTAAATGTATTTGCTCTTCGAATAGCACTTTTTAAAAACATTATTTGATGAATGTTCATGAGATTGCATCAATTTTTTGAACGCATGTAAATGTATAACTAGGAGGTGTTTGCCACTATGGATAAAAAGCATCTGCCAAATACTTAAATGTAAGTGTAACATGGGATCATAAAAACTGCATGCATGCATGCTAATGATAAAAGCTGTATATTATAGTGTTTCTCTGAAAGAAGTCTCTAATCTAATCTAAAGGCAGTTATCAAATTGCAATGGTTTTGCTTATGGTTTAAGCTCTGGGCAAGGCGTTTAACCTTGGGTTTCTCTAGGGGGACTTTTTTAGAGTAATGAATACTGTAAGTTTCTCTATGAGAGACGCTGGAGTCAAGTACATCTAAACTGTATGGCGGACTGATGACAGCATTCTGGATAAGGATCTGTGTGCCTTACACAATGGTTGAGGGTTCAGTTTCAAGTTAGGGTGACCCAGGATCCGAAAAGTAACTAAGATCACAATCTTCCTCTATCACTTAAGGATCTACCATGCATTTTAGCATTGTGTCTATATTATGGCTTTTATATCACATGATCACTATGGTGTTTCATGAGGTTAAGGAAGAATTTTAGGTAAGTGAGCACTGCATTTGTGCCCACTTACCTAAAACTCTTCCTTAACCTCATGAAACACCTTGCAAATCAACATTTGACAAAATATAGCTCGATTGTGATTTGTGGGCTGTGTAGTCTTACCTGATGTGCTCCCATCTCGTTTGGTGTTGGGTCGTGTTGTGTCTTGAGCTGTGGTCTGAGTGCTAGAAGTGCATCCCATCGTGTCTTCCTCTGACAGGAGAGAAGTCGAGCAGTTTAGTGAGTGTTGTTGTGCCCAGCGGCGCACATCGACTTCAAGTGCAGGAGGAATGTGCTAAATAAACGCGCAGTTGATACAGACAGCACTCGTTCCCTGGTCAGGGAACACATTGGGTGTTTCTGAGTGTGTGTATAAGCGGCGGTCATATGCAAACCTGCTCTTATTCCCGGGAACTTTACAGGTCGCATTTGAATTTGCAATGCTAAGACAGCAGCGAAGTTCTGTCCTCTCTGATTAAAATGCTTTGTGTTAAGAAATTATAAGAGACGCTTTATGTTCAACTTCAGTTCTAACAACCAGAATAACAATATAAATCTGATAACAGGTTTAATGAGAAAATGTATTCTAATATTAAAATATAACATCACATAGCCTACTCCATGTGTTGGTTGAGTTATTTTGGCGACATCTACAGGTGACTTCTGGAGTAGCGCTGGCCAACCCGAACTAGACTGTCATAAAAACTACTGTAGTCAACATCTTCAGGCTCTACAATAAATATTCCTACAGTACATAACTAAATCTACAACTATGGTACATCATGTCAGGGCGCAGAGAATGCTATGCATCCATAAGAAACTCCCTGCTACATTTTTTTAGTTCTATAAGATTCTTTATTTGGATAAATTGTTCTTTGGAGATTGTTTTAAATTATATCGTTTGCATTAAAATAATGAGGAGACTTATATTTTTCTGAATTATGACAAAATGTTGTCTGAAAAGTGTTTGGGGTATCAAAAATCCCATTTAATATGCTTCAATCATTCTGCATAAAAATGTTATATTAAGGGACCCCTACTATAAGACATGTATAGCCTATAAAAACAAAGAATATAGCGGTGTAGACTCTTACTCCTGCCAGTTATTTATTTGGATTTATTTTATTGTATCTGCAGTGGGTTTTGTTCTTCCCCCTATAAAAGCAGCAATGGGATCATGTTTCTAAACATGCATGCATATTTGTTGCAAAATAACAGGAAAAGGCTTCAATAATATCTGCAGGGTTTTGGTATGAACATAGAAGAGTTTAAGGGGAAAATTATCACATGGGTTAATATTTCAAACAGTCTCACACACTGTTCAAAATATTAACATTTCAAAATTCGACACCATTTTAGTTTTGCAAAGAAGAGCTATAAACTAGTCATTTTAAAACATTTTCTTTCAGAAAATATTTTGGATTTTATAAAAGGGAAAAAATGACTTTACTGTATTGCTTTTGAAAGACAACTGAACATGTAACACAAAGTGTTTGGTTTCAGATGAGTTTGGCCTCCTGAGAAGAAATACACTGTTTATACAAATTTGTACAAAATAGACATCTTCCTCTTAATGGTGTGCAAAACAAACATTTTATATGCCTTTTTAATACATTTCATAGAATTGTGTCCCTCTGTTCTCTATTATGAAATGTTTTTATATAAAGTACTAAACACATATATCAAACATAACACATATGGATGTATTACAAATAATGAACTCAATGAATCAATGTCAAATTGTTATAATTGTCCCGTTTCAGCAGAATTATTAATGGTCTAAAGCTTTGGTAATTATTTTAGCTTTTAAATGCCTCCTGCTATAGATATAGGCAGCACAAAAATGATTTAAAGAGCAGGAAAATACTTCACAACCAAATGTTAAGTATTTTGGATGCATTTGGATACAGTTGTGCAAGAGTAAGCTCAATTCTGAGAGGAATTTAAACTGCAGGCCCTACTGTTTGCCTTCCTACACCTCTTTAAGCAGAAGGCCATAAGGTCGGATTGAGCTCTTTACTATTTCTTTCTCAGCAGATGTGCTTTCAGGTGTTGTGCCGAATTCTGCACCCCTGCCAGATTATGCACCCCCTCGTTGAAGTCGCTACCTGATTGCCTAATCCCAACCCCACCCCTAATCCTAACCCCTCCCCTACACCTAACCCTAAACCTACCAATACTAGGGGGTGCATAATCTGGCAGGGTGCAAATTTCCGCACTACACCGGGTCAATAGGGACCAATCAAATGTTTTTGTCTTTGATTTCCCTCTTCTGGGGGTTGATTCTATTCTGCATGATGACTTTGTAAGTTTTTCCATTCTTTTGCGACGTGAATGTCTTGCTTTTCGCGAACACATCTGCCACATTGATGTCTAAATTGTCTGCTGCTTTAAATATCTGAGCTCTAGATTAGTTGTCAATGTTTTTATTGTTCATCATTTATGGATAGACAACGTTATTGTCCTTGGTGTGAATGAGCCTTGATTAAATCTCTCTCTTTGTGTTCACAAAAATGTATGTTCAGATGAGAAAATGATGTTTGTGCATTTGAGTTGGAACTAATTTGGACATATGTGCTACAAATATAGCACTACAAGGTACAATTTGGTCACCAAATATTTGTCTTTGAAAGGTACAGACTGTAAGGGTACCAATAGGCTACACTTTTCGGGTGTACTCTTGCCTTGAGGGTACTGCCCCATTAACAAGCCCTTGTACATATTTTGTGCACATTTTTCTGACAGTATACCAAACTCATTCACACACTAACAAACTATCACATGCCACTATGAATTTTACCTGTTCGACATCAGGCATACTGTGTGTCACAGCAGAAGTGCATGATAATCCTGGGTGCAGTGCATTAGATATCATTTTTGACACCAATTTCACTCTGAAAAATTAAGCTTTGTGATTGGCTTTTTACAGGTTAGGTTCAACAAAGAACTTCTTATCTATAAAGAATGTTGATTATATAGGGTTGGCAATACATTTCTTTGGCCATTAGAAAAGTTCTTGAGGTTCAAATATGTACGCTCTAGTGTATTGGTTTCTGTATTGCTTAAAGAATTGTTCTTTAAATAGATATTTACAAAAAATTATAGGAATAATAGATTTCTTTTGTACATATTGAGGAATCTCTGTTTACCGAAACCTTGTGTATAAAAGGTATGTAGTGATCAAGTGAGTTTGAGTGGTCTATGAGATTTTTCATTCTTTTGGACTGACACTGAAGTCAGTCTCAACAGAATATGACAGTTAATATTTTAAACATATTCTCGCACACTGGCAGGGTTATGTAAGGGATAATGCATGGCTAGCTGTGCGTTAAACAATTTTAATGCATGATGTGGAGGCCAAGAACCACCCGACGCGAAGCAGAGTGCATTAAATTTAATTTAATTGTGCGTCAATTAAGGCAGCGCATTAATATAGAACAGTGATTAAACTGACTTTGAACTACCTGTGCATTAAATGGTTTTAAAACCCTTACAATCTGACTGGAATTTCACCGTGACTCCCAGAATGGCAGAGAGCGCCTCGGTGAAGAGAGATTTGCTCAACTCCATTATATTAACACTCAACCTTATCAAGTGACCAGGATTTCTGTTCTGTTAGTGTTGACAAGAAAATGTGGTTTATCTAGCTATTAGTAACACACCCATCTTCTCCCACATTTAGTTTTGCTTTCAGTTTAAAGGTCGTTTATTACATATAATATAATATATTATATTATCTGTGAAATTTGGCGGGCAGAGACCAGTCAGAATCTGTGCATTCAGGAGTTTTGTGTGAGGTTGAAAAAGTTTCCCACACAGATTTCACTCTTGTTCAAGTTGGTCTCGCAAAAACTCAGGCCGTTGAGTTGATCATTTAGAAATAAACAACCTTTTACAAAGATTTGCTCCGAATTCACACAAACTGGGCTATTTACAAGTGATGTATGTGGTCTTTAATCTTTGCTCTAAAAATGTACATAATTGAAAACTTGGTGCCCTTTGCACCGTGCAATTCTGAGAAATGTTATCATGCAATTTAGATAAATGTGCAGGGTGGTCAGCAGGGTATAGTTGACACACACATGTATTTCACCGTGACTCCCAGAATGGCAGAGAGCGCCTCGGTGAAGAGAGATTTGCTCAACTCCATTATATTAACACTCAACCTTATCAAGTGACCAGGATTTCTGTTCTGTTAGTGTTGACAAGAAAATGTGGTTTATCTAGCTATTAGTAACACACCCATCTTCTCCCACATTTAGTTTTGCTTTCAGTTTAAAGGTCGTTTATTACATATAATATATTATATTATCTGTGAAATTTGGCGGGCAGAGACCAGTCAGAATCTGTGCATTCAGGAGTTTTGTGTGAGGTTGAAAAAGTTTCCCACACAGATTTCACTCTTGTTCAAGTTGGTCTCGCAAGAACTCAGGCCGTTGAGTTGATCATTTAGAAATAAACAACCTTTTACAAAGATTTGCTCCGAATTCACACAAACTGGGCTACTTACAAGTGATGTATGTGATCTTTAATCTTTGCTCTAAAAATGTACATAATTGAAAACTTGGTGCCCTTTGCACCGTGCAATTCTGAGAAATGTTATCATGCAATTTAGATAAATGTGCAGGGTGGTCAGCAGGGTATAGTTGACACACACATGTACCACAGAAGTGGAATGAACTGATGGACTGATGATTGTACACTCTAAAAAATGCTGGGTTAAATACAACCCAGTGCTGGGTAAAATAGGGACAAACCCAGCAATTGGGCTGTTTTGACCCAGCGGTTTGGTTAAATGTTTAACCCAACCTTCTGGGTAGTAACCCAAGGGTTTTTTCTTATTTTAAATTCTTTTATTTATGTACAACCTTTAATAACAATACCTGAAATGCTAAAAATGCACAATCTGATCATTTATTCATTTTCATTTTGATCAATGTATTTAACAAATGTAACATCATGAATTTTGATAGGAGTCATATGCACAACCTTTAATAACAATACCTGAAATACTAAAAAATATTACTTGATTATTTATTCATGTTCATTTTGATCAATGTAGTTAATGACTGTAAGACCATATATTATGTTTCGCAAATAAATTGTTTCGCAAATAAATCCTATCAAAATATGATTATTATAATAATTTTGATCAATTAATGAACGTAACCATGTTGCATACTGAATGTTATTTGACGGCTGGCTATTATGAGGTAATATTTAGTTTATGTTCATTTTCAACAAATAGTCAAGTAGTCTTTTATTGTCAATTCAACTATATACAGTACACTACACAGTAAAACAAAATGTTCCTCTAGGACCAAGGTGCTATGCAGAACGACATATATTAAAAACCATATTGATAACACAAGACCGATAACAACATAAATTAACATCAAAACAAAAAACCAATACAAGAATTCAGAAACATAAAGCTCTAAAACCTTAAATAAAGTGCACGTTTTGAGCGTTTAGTGCAAACAATACAGGACAATGGGGCAATAAACAGTGGCATTTCAACACCAACCAGTGCAGTAAATGTGTGATATTGCACATAAATTGATCATCTAATATAAACACCATATATAGACATTTGTTGTGTAGCAGCGATATATAGTTCAAAAAGTAATTTTTGCAATTTGAGCAAACTGTTTCAATGAATTTGCTTGTGTGTGTTAGTCTAGGCCCTTTGTATTGAGAAGTCAAATGGATTGTGGAAAGAAACTGTTACACAGTCTGGCTGTGAGAACCCAAATGCTTTGATATCTTTTTCCAGATGACAGGAGGATGAAGAGTGGATGAGAGGGGTTTGTGGAATCAGCTACAATGACTTTGCGGATGCAGCGTGTTTTGTAAATGTCCATGTTTTGCAATTCGCAAAGCAGGCGGTGATGCAGCTGCTCAGGATCCTCTCAAAAGTCCCTACTGAGAGGATCCCTCGTTGTGAGGATGGGTGGTGGGAGTTGGGCTTTCCTCAGGCTTTCCAAGCTTTCTTGGTAATGGAGCTGGTGTTGAGGGACCAGGTAAGGTTCTCCGCCAGGTGAACACCAAGGAATTTGGTGTTCTTGACGATCTCCACCAAGGAGCTTTTGATGTTCAGCAGGGAGTGATTGCACTGTGTCTTCCTGAAATCCACAGCCATCTCTTTTGTTTTGTCCACAATCAGAGACAGACTGTTGGTTTTGCACCAGTCTGTTAACATTTGCACTCTCTGTATGCTGACACGTCGTTCTTACTGATGAGACCCACCACTGTCGTGCCATCGGCGAACTTGATGATCACAAGAAGTGAACTCAGTGAACTCATGACAAGAGTTCATTTTGGTCCCCTGTTTTCATTACACTTAATCAAAAAAAAAAATCTCCATGTCTTCAGTGAGCAAAAACTGAACTTAAATAATGGGTCTCTGTTTAATAAATAATACATTCAAAACATAAATCTAAAACGTAATTGAACTGTCAACAGAAAAATACTGAAAACAATAAAAGATTACAACAATTTTAACCTGCAGTAGTACAATGTGAAAGACATGCAAATAACCGAGATTTACAAGAAACCGTTTAACTTAATATATGAATGAATAGTTCACCACATAATGAGAGATCATTACAGGTGTCCCACCGTGTTCTCCGCCATGTTGTTATGCTTTAATTACCCCGCCCACCACTTCCAGCCTAGATCGGGTGGTCTGGATCGTGTCTGCGGGGCTGCAGCTGGATCCTATTGGTTTTTATGCATGTTTTGACATGAGTCTGTGTTGCATTTACACAGTTTTGACCAGCAGGCGACACCAGCGTGTGGTGTTCCGAGCGCTTCGAAAAACTGAAGCATTTTGTGAAGCAATTGGTCCAGCTGAGTGTACATGCACACCAGCACGCTGATAACTCACAAATATCAGCTTACTAAAATAAGCAGTTTCCCCCGTTTACATGCACACCAGTAACCTGACCACGCAAGCAAGCTGCCCTTCATTAATAAATCAGGCTATTTCCCTGTACTGAAGTCAAAATATAATCATTTGCGTGTCTGACTCCGAGTACTCCATGCATCTGTCAGTTGTGATGTTAAATTAAGCTTGCAACAGCTCATTTATTATCCTCTCGTGCAAGTATAAACGCAGCATTGCGACTGAACCACTTCTGCCGCACGAGAACACATTTTCTCATTTTTAGTCATGAAAAAGTCTGCTTTTGTGATATATTTCCTTCTTTCTTTACTGCAAGACGTTTACTCGGTCTAGATGCGCTTAAATCTGCACTAACGACGCGTTCCTGTCACGTATCACACATGCGCACTTCAATAAGCCGACAGAAAGCGTCCGCGACCTGTTTCTGACCTTACTCCGGTAAAAGAAAACGGGTTACCGCGTTTACATGACCACGTGCGTTTTCGGCTTATTAAACACAATCGGTTTAAGAGCGTGCATGTAACCGCGCGCAGACACCAAACGTCACGTGGTTACTGTCCTGAGGTCAGCGCTCTCGCGATGTGGGCGCGTGAGGTTTACGCGCGCGCTGCACGCTGGGAAGCCCTTTCTCTACGAGGCCATCTTGGTGTGATCAGGAGGTGAGCGCGGCTCTGGTGGAAACGATTAAAATACTCTCTTTAAGCCTTTTATGAAGACTGCAAACAGAAGGCTTTTGAAAGAATAGGTTTTGATTTGTTGCCCCTCTGTGTTTAGGTTGGCCAGATCGGACTAATCGGGAAAAATGGTGGCCGCGAAGAAGACGGTGAGTGGAGCGGGCGCTTCACGTGGAAGCGCCCTTCAGGCCCGATCAGAAAAGCCTACATGTTTTCATCCACTAATACTGAAATATAAGATTGAAGTTACGCAGCGGAGCTGTTATTAGCCATTTGATTGTGCAAATGTTCATCTCTACGTGCTGTCGGGTGGGCTAAATGTTAGCTAACTTGGTTAAAGAGTGCAGCTGCTTGACAAGATGCTTGTAGTTCAGAGGAGCTAGTTTGTTTTCTACTGTACGCTATATGTTAAATATATTAATGATATAACTTGGGTGCCTTCAGAAGACGTGATGCGTCTTTATCAGTCAAACGCTTAGTATGTTAACTATGAGCGATGAATGTAGTACGGGAGCAATTCTTCTGAAATGTCATTGAGATAAAGTATTGTTAAAGAATTGTAGTTGTCTAACGCAGGCGCGATATGGTCACTCTGTGTATATACTGTTTATAAGTGCATTGATGTGATCATAGAGCGAATGGGGCGTGACTTTCTTAATTGATTTGGAAATGTAACTTATATTAGTGTGCTAGACATATTAGTCTAGTGAGCAAGGTTAATATATACTGTGTATATACAGGATTTGCACCTCTGTCAAAGAAATGGCTGGTAATTGTCTGATGTAAAATATATTTGACATGTTAGTCACTGTTTTCTGTCAAAGTGTATTTGTATGTTCTGTGCCATAGGTGCATTCATGGTTTTGTCCCTTCATCTTTTTCAGAAAAAGTCCCTGGAGTCCATCAACTCCAGACTGCAGCTTGTGATGAAGAGCGGTAAATATGTTCTCGGATACAAGCAGTCTCAGAAAATGATTCGCCAAGGAAAAGCCAAGCTGGTAATCCTGGCCAACAACTGTCCTGCTCTGAGGTGTGTGCCGTTTACTGCTCTGACATCTGCTGTCAAAATGTGAAACGTCTGTGGCGTCTTAGTCAATGCAATTGTATCTTTCTTTTTTTTCTAGGAAATCTGAGATTGAGTACTACGCTATGTTGGCCAAAACCGGAGTCCATCATTACAGCGGAAACAACATTGAGCTCGGCACAGCCTGTGGCAAATACTTCAGAGTGTGCACACTGGCCATCATTGACCCTGGTGTGTATTCATGCATC